TTTTTTTCAATTGTATTTATATTTATTTGTGTGGGGTACAGTGTGTTGTTTCAATACATGCATGTACTGCACAATGATTCACTTAGGGTAAATAGCATAGTTTTGTACCCATTAGTCCACCCTTTTCCTCCCCTCCCAGCCCCACCCCTCCCAGCCTCTGGTAACCATTATTCTACTCACTACTTCTATAAAAACCACCTTTTTTTTTTTTTAGATTCCACACATGAGTGAGACCATGCAGTGTTTCTCTTTCTGTGCCTGACTTACTTCACTTAACATGATGGTTTCCAATTCCATCCATGTTGCTGCAAATGATAGGATATCATTTCTTTTTATAGCTGACTAGTATTCTGTTGTGTATATATACCAGAGTTTTTTACCCATTCATCTATTGATGGGTATTTAGGTTGATTCCATCTCTTGGCTATTATGAATAGCATTGCAATGAACATGGGAGTGCAGGTGTCTTTTTGATATATTGATTTCATTTCCTTTAGTTATATACCCAGTGGTGGGATAGCTGGTTCATAAGGTGATCTATTTTCAGTTCTCAGAGGAAATTCCATACTGTTTTCCACAATGGCCGTACCAATTTACACTCACGTTAACAATGTAGGAGAGTTCTACTGCACCACATCCTCGTCAGCGTTTGTTATTTTCTGTCTTGTTGATAATAGCCATCCTAACTGGAGTGAAATGATATTTCATTGTGGTTTTAATTTGCATTTCCCAGATGATTAGTGATTTTGAGCATTTTTTCATGTACTTGTTGGCCATCTATATGTCTTCTTTTGAGAAACATTTATTCAGTTCCTTTGCCCATTTTTGTATGGTTTGGGGGTTGGGGGGAGCTGGCCAGTCTTTGCCCATTTTATAATTTTTTTTTTTTTGCTGCTGTTTGAGTTCTTTGTATATTCTGGATATTAGCCCCTTGTCTGATGTATAGTTTGCAGGCACTTTCTCCCATTCTGTAGACTGTCTCTTCACTTTGTTTAAAGTGTCCCTTGTGCAGGAGCTTTTTACTTTGATGTAGTCCTGTTTGCCTATTTTTGCTTTAGTTGCCTGTGCCTTTGTGGTCTTGTTTAAAAAAGCGTTGCCCACTCCCATTTTGTGTAGTGTTTCCCCTATGTTTTCTTCTAGTAGTTTCATAATTTTGGGTCTTAAATTTAGGTCTTTAATCCATTTTGAGTTGATTTTTCTGTATGACAGATAGGGGTCTAGTTTCAATCTCCTACAAATGGATATCCAGTTTTCCCAGCACCATTTATTGAAGAAACTGTCCTTTCCTCACTGTAGATTCTTGGCACCTTTGTCAAAAATCAGTTGGCTATAAGTCCATGGGTTTGTTTCTGGGCTCTCTATTCTGTTCCTTTGGTCTATTTGTCTATTTTTATGCCAGTACCATGCTGTTTGGTTACTATAGCTATACAGTATATTTTGAAGTCAGGAAGTATGATGGCTCTAACTTTGTTCTTTTTGTTCAAATTGCTTTAACTATACAAGGTCTTTTGTCACTCCACACAAATTTTAAGATTTTTTTTCTGTTTCTGTGGAGATTATCATTAGTATTTTGATAGGGATTGCACTGAATATGTAGATTGCTTTGGGTAATATGGACATTTTGATGATGTTAATTCCAATTGTTTTTAAATCACAAATCATGGGCCGGCCCGTGGCTCACTCGGTAGAGTGCGGTGCTGATAACACCAAGGCCACGGGTTCGGATCCTATATAGGGATGGCCGGTTTGCTCACTGGCTGAGCGTGGTGCTGACAACCCCAGGCCAAGGGTTGAGATCCCCTTACCGGTCATCCTTTTAAAAAAAAAAAATCACAAATCATGGGCCGGCCCGTGGCTCACTCGGTAGAGTGCGGTGCTGATAACACCAAGGCCACGGGTTCGGATCCTATATAGGGATGGCCGGTTTGCTCACTGGCTGAGCGTGGTGCTGACAACACCAGGCCAAGGGTTGAGATCCCCTTACCGGTCATCCTTTTAAAAAAAAAAAAATCACAAATCATGTCATCTCTGAATGTCTCTAGTTCCACTTTGGGAAACAGTTGTTAAGGGTTTGTAGAGCACTTCCACATATATTATCCCATTATACCCTGATATCAATTCTCTGAGTTTGGTACCATTATTTCCAATAAGACAGATAAAGAGGCATAGAGAAGCAAATAATTATGCCCATGGTCATACAAAGCTATTCAGTAAAAGAAGGTATATTGAAACGCAAACATTCAGACAAGTCCTCTTTTCACTTGGCACAGTGGAAAGATAACACTGAGAGAAGACTATCAACAACCACAGCTATTTATTAAGTCTTTATCCAGCAACTCTTTAAAGTAGGTGTTATTATTCTTATCTTACAAATGAGAACATAGGAGTGAAGTGTCTTTAGTCAATTGCTGGAGGGTAAAGTGTTCGAAATTGGTGGAGAAAGAATTCAAACCTAGATCTCTCTGATTCCAGAGCATGAAATCCTAACTGCATGGTACTGCACTGTCTGGAACCAAATCAACAATATCTTCAAGGTTTGCCTATTCTTGGAAGGCCACACAAACAACTTAGCTTCAGTTTGGTGACATGGAACTTCAGCCATCAAACATTCTGGTTTGATCTGTTGGGAGTAGTGCAGGAGCTCAATCCAAACTAAGGGCCTCCTGTAAATTTTATTCAAACTTCCCTAAATCTTTTAGTAAATTGTTCCCACAGAAAATGTGCTGTGTTTACTTTACTTTAAATAAATTGATACATCTAAAAATAATCTCTGAAACCCTGCTGGGAAGAAGAGGAAGGACTAGAAAAAAATTAAGAAACAGGCCCCATGTCAGAGCCCTGCAATGACAAAAAAGTTTCAGCTTGGAAACTTGGGGTTTGCTAGGTGTCTAAGTTCAGCTGCTATAACAAACATAACATAAACTGGGTGACAAACAACAGAAATTTATTTCTACAGTTCTGGAGGCTTCAAAATCCAAAATAAAGGGGCCTGTAGGTCTAGTATCTGATGAGTGTTAGGTTCGGTGAAACAGAGAAAATGGGCGGCAGGGGGGGGGCGGGGAGGAGACACAAGCCAGGTGCTATTTCAGCCAAAAAGCTTTATTTCTACCAACATGGAGGGGAGACTGAATACATCAGTTCCCCGCCCCCCCCCTCCCCCGTACAGACTAAAAAGGTTTTATAAGGTTTGACTTAGAAGAAGGGCTTGGGTGGTCGTTTTTGCATAAGAATCTGTTTTGCAGAAATTCCAGTTTTTCTCAAAAGGCAGGGGGGTAGGGGGTAGAAAGCTGATTAACATGAGATAGGAAGGGACAGGAGGGAAGAGGGTGGAAAGTTGATTAACATGAGATAGGGAGGGGCAAGGGGGAAGAAGGTGGAAATATGCTCAACCTGGTTGTGCTAATGCTGGCCATGAGGCCTAATAATGAGGGCCCACTTTTGGTTTGCAGATGGCCATCTTTTTCTTGAATCCTCACATGGAGGGAGGGATGAGCACTACTATGTCTCTTCTTCTTATAAGGACATAATGAGGGCTCCATTAAAATCACCTCCCAAAAACCCAACCTCTTAATATCATCCCATTGGGGATAGGGTTTTAGTATATGAATTTGGGGGGACACAAACATGCAGTCTATAACACTAGGTTCAAAATGTGCCTTAGCCCTTTTTTCCTTAGCCTCTATCCCCATTCCTCCATATTATTTTCAAAATGGAATTTGCTTCCCATGAGATCATCAGGGCTTGAAGAAGAGACCCCTCTTGATGCATCGTCCTCTTTCCAGGAAGCACAAATATCCTGCTCTTCCTGCTAATACTAATTTAATCTCCCCAACCAGCTTCCGATGCAGGTATTATTATCCCCCAAATACGGAAGAGAACACTGAGGCATAATTTACCCAAGGTCACACAGCTAGTGGGTAACTGGTAGGGGACATTCCACCCTAGGCATTCTTAATGGCTACAATACAATGCCTTAATGACTTAACATTTAAACTGTACTGCAATAAAGACAATAATAAGAAATGTGTAAAATTAAAACACATAAAGGCTCTGATAACGTTGGATTTGTTACAAACAGAAAGGTTTTTAAAGTCAACTTTTTATTCGATTATAACTCACATACCGAAAAGTGCATTAATGATTTAAGTGAACAAACACTGATGTAACTATCACCCACACCGAGAAGCTGAAAATAACCAGACTACCCACCACGACGCAGAATCTCCTATTAGTCTGTGTTTCAAAATTCAAAATAAGCATTCACTTATTATTGTTGTATCTCAAACCCTGATTGAAATGCATTTCCATAGTAATATACTCCTTCTAGAGCAGTGATTCTCAAAACGTGGTGCCCAAACAAGCAGCCTCAGCATCACCTGGGAACTTGTTAGATTTGCATATTAAAAGACACCAGGTCAGATCTACAGAAAAGAAACTCTGGGGGGTGGAGCCCAGCAATTTGTGTTTTAACAAGCCCCTGGCTGATTCTGATGCATGTTAAGATTAAAGAAGCATGGATGTCAGTCAGTTGAAACAGTTTTGGTTCGCGCTCACATAGTAACTGTGTTAGATGAATACTAAGGTCTAAGTGTTACTTTTGACTAATGGTGACAAGCTGTAATTACCTATCTCTTTTTGAAGTACGCTGCAGGGAAGACGCGTTTCTCTTTTAACTAACCGTGTTATCGCTCCAGTGCAGGGTGTCTTTTGCAGGAAGGACAAAACAGCCCACGCCCTGCCCTCTCTTTCAGCCCAGTAAGGGGCACCCCAGTTTCCTTGCAAAGCCCAGGCCACCGACTGGCGGGCAATTCAACCTCCAGAGGCAGGAGCAGGCCTTGGCCAATCAGAAGCTAGACTCGAGTCGCTCGCCCATCCTAGCGGTGTGATTGGTTGTTTCCCGCCGGTGGCAGCGACCCTCCGTGGCTACGCCCCGCGCCCTCCAGCGCGAGCCAATCGTCGCTCAGCACCGAAGGGGCGCCAACCCGCGGGAGAGATTTAACATGGCGGAGAGCGCGGCCTCAGCGGCCCTTAGCCCGCGCGGCCGTGCGGACGGGAAAGATGCCGACCTCCTAGAGGAGGGGATGGCGGAAACGGAGAGAGACGACCAGCAGCAGTTTGAGTGCCAGGAGCTTCTCGACTGCCAGGTGCAGGTGGGGGCCCCCGAGGAGGAGGAGGAGGACGCGGGCCTAGTGGCCGAGGCCGAGGCCGTGGCTGCCGGTTGGATGCTCGATTTCCTCTGCCTCTCTCTTTGCCGAGCCTTCCGCGACGGCCGCTCCGAGGACTTCCACCGGACCCGCGACAGCGCCGAGGGTGAGTTTGGGCGCGCTGGGGCCGGGGGCAGCGCGGGGGCGGGGGAGGGGCTGCGGCGGAGGATCCGCGGAGGGACCGGGGCTCTGGTCCCCAACTTCAGCTCAAGTCCCGGTTCCGCCTGCTGTCAGCTCTTCAGTTTTTCTCAGATTCTGTTTTTCTTTTCGGTAAAATGAAAATAAGACCCCCGTTTAGAGCTGAAACAAGATTAAGTGAGTTGGAACGTGTGAAATTGCATCCGATCGTATTGTCTCCTCTGGCGCCTGTATTTGGTGGTTGTTTCTCCTCAGGTATTTCTCTGCTGATTTTTATTCAGCAGTCACAATAGCCTCCTGTGACCTCCAGGCATCTTTGTGTTATGTTAATTTGTGAGCTGTTTAAACCTCATTTGACCTACTACTCGCTCAGTATGGTCCTCAGAATATAAGTAACTGCCCATGAAATCTGCCGCCTGGACGTCCACGAGGTGATAGACAAAGACAGACCCGTAGAAAAGACTAGCGCAGCTTTTTGAAAGATGACAGAAAGATGCTCTGGTACTTCATTCAGAGTTGGGACACTAAATATATTGTATGAGTAAATAGGAGGGTACTTCAAAAAGTTCGTGGAAAAATGGAATTAAAGGTCATACGAATCTTTCCATGAAATTTTTGAGGTACCCTCCTAGTTATAGTACTATCAATATGGGTCTTGATGGAAAATTCTCAGAAAGCCTTATCAATACATTTCATTTTCTCGATAATCCCATGAGTTAAGCAAATAATCTTAGTTTATGGAGGAGTGAACTAGTTAACCTAAAGTACGAATAGGTTAAATGGGGTGTTCCAGACCCAAGCTTTGTCTTCCAATTCAAGGACCTTTTCCTCTGTGTCACAGATAACACTGAAGCCATGGGAAACTAACATTAATTAGAAAATTAAATCCTACGGGCTGGCCTATGGCACATTCGGGAGAGTGCGGTGCTGATAACACCAAGGTCGCGGGTTCGGATCCCATATAGGGATGGCCGGTTTGCTCACTGGGTGAGCGTGGGTTAAGATCCCCTTACTGGTCATCTTTTTTTTAAAAAAAGAAGGGAAAAAAAAAAAGAAAAGAAAATTAAATCCTGGAATGAAGCCAACTCACCATAATTAGAATTATTAAAAAGTCCTCTTTGGGGAAGAGGCTAGAATTATCTATGTGGTAATGGATTACAGTTGAACTCCTGTTTAGCTAATACTTATATAGGTATATGTGGAATATACTATAAAGAATATGTACCTCACAGGGCCTGATTTTCCAAAGCCTTGCAGCCTTTCAAATATTGACCTTGCGGAGGACTGGAAATTTTCCTCAGGCTATAAGTCTCTGGTGTAAGATAAAGAATTGTGGCACAGCAAGGTTGCTGGCTCAAGGACAGACTAGTTACTGATTGTTATGTAAAGATACTGGGAAATTGCTGTAACATCACTTCTACTGGAATGTCATCTGGCTTGTTTCACTGAAAGTTACCAGCCTATATCGTTAAACTATAACCCCACCTATGTTCTCTTCCTGTAACTTTCTGGTCTGGAAAATAAATGCAGGAAGAGAACCCCAATTCAGGGTTAATTTCCGGAGGAAGGAATGCCTCTCGCTTGAGCGTTCCCAAGGGAAGTTAATCGCTTTGGGGCTTCTCACTGCTCAGAAGAAGTGGGCTTTGAGTAATCCTTTGTGGCTCCATCACCCTGGAGAAGTGGGGTGACAAATCCGTGGGGGGCAAAGCAACAAGTATAAGATGGGTATAGAAATGTTTTTATGTGTGTGAGTAGACATGGGTTAGTATACATACATATATTTCCTCGCTCTATCAAATGAAAGGGCACAAAAGCAACCTAATCCTAGTAGCAATGATTATAGCTAGCACCCAGATCTTGGTTTCTGATACCATTCTCCAAAAGGAACCAGGGCTCTTTGGAGAAATGACTGATTCAGGGACTGGGAGAGGAAATAACCGATGAACCTGGAGCATCCTGCAGTGCCAGAAAGTGAGGAAGTGCTCAAACAAACAATCAGAACCCCTCAATGGTAGGGGTATAAAAGGTCGCATGTGCCATCTGCAAGACCTCCCAATGGCCAAAGCTGAAACAGCTAGAGCAAGAAAATTAAGTGGTATTGGTTTATAACCCAAAGCATAAAATAAATATCCATGAGTCTGTACTGATGTAAACAAATGATTGAGTAGGTAAATAAATGGGAGAAGAGGTGAATCTCATGTGTAGAAGAATTCCAAGTAATTTAATGTTGCTACTCTGTCCTCAAGCAGCATGGAGCATAGTGTGTGGCTGCATATGGTGACTTTCTTCCGAAGAGTATTATGGAAAGGACAGAGGGGAAAAAGTAACTATACAGTAGAGAAACCTGGCAAACACGATCTCACCTAAGTGATCAAGATCAACCATCAACAGTGTTACTTGGTAATATGTACACTGGATATGATGTAATGAAAATGGAATTTTACATCTGAGGTCTTTCTCCCCAAAACCCACAACTCCAGTCTAATATGAGAAAAACATCAGAGAAATCCTGATAGAGGGGCATTCTACAAAATTCCTGACTAGTACTTCTCAAAATGTCAAATCAAAACCAAGGAAAGTGTGAGAAACTGTTAAACTAACGGGTGCCTAAAGACACAGGGTGACTATATGTAATATGGTATCCTGGATGGGATCCTTCCACAGAAGAAGGACATCAAGTAAAAGCTAAGGAAATCTGAAAAAAGCATGGACTTTAGCTAATAATAATGTATCAACATTGGTTCATCAATGTAACTTGTACCTAATTCTAATCTAAGATTTTAATAATAGGAGAAACTGTTGCAGGATATATGGGACCTTCCTACTATTTTCACCATCATTCTGTAAATATTTAAAACAAAACAAAAAAAACCCCTTCCGATGTTCTAGCTGGAGACCTGAGGGATAATGTAGGCCACCTCCATTATTAGTTCAAGGTTAAGAGCATAGAAACCCAGAGAGGGTAAACTTGTTTCCAAGTTGCACTGCTAATCAGTTGCTGATGTGCAAATTGTGAACATAGTGCTCTCTCTGTGTTCCCATTTTTAACTGTGAAAGTACTCTTTTATTTCTTATTTTATAGAATTTCATTTACTACACTTTTCAGAATTGTAAAAATATACAACCTCGATGCTTTCTAGAAAATTCTTAGCTCTTTCATTCAGACTCAGAATTGTTCTCACACCTCATGTATCCAGTTAATGCCTTTTCCAGACTCCTAACATATTCCCTGCCATGGAAAACAGGATAAGGTGGTGATTAAGAACAGGGGTTCCAGAGTAAATTGCCCGAATTTGATTCCTGATTCTGCTATTTTACAGTTGTAGGATATGTCAAAAGACAATTACAACAAATTTAAAGACCTCATTTGGCTTTATTGTGATTTTAGAATCCAGCAACACTCACTGTTCCATAAAATGTAATAAGTGTTCTAATGAGTTGAGCAGAAGAGGTTGGTTTTATAGACAGAAAGAGCTGAAGAAAGCAGAAACAAAACAAAAAGCAGATTGGTCATTTCAAAGTACTTTCCTTGCAAGGTGGGAACAGGGAAACAGAACAATACAAAGATAACTGGTTAACACCAGGTTACTTTTTGTTGTAAGGATTAAAACAGAGGGCGCTTCATTATATTTGGGATTGAGGGTTGAAACTGGCTTGTTTGGTAAATTGGCTGGATTTCAGTGTGGTGATATGGAATTTGGGCACTGGTGACTCCGTTTTGATTTTTAGTCTAGTCTCTCTGGGCCTAGTATAGTGCAGGAGCTTAGTCCAAAACGGTGGCCTATAATTTTTGTTTAACAGATCTGAAGCAATACTTACTCTCTTGGTGCCTCAATTTCCTCATCTGTAAAGTGGTGATAAAAATAGTATCTAGGGCTGTTGAAAGAAGCAAGTGAATTGATATGCATAAAGCAAGGTTTCCCAGTCTCAACACTTGACATTTTGGACCATGTAATTATCTTTGTAGGGGTTGGGGGTTGGGATCTGTCCTGTCCATTGTAGGATGTTTAGCAGTATCCCTGGCACTGACCCACTAGATGCTAGTAGCATTCAACCTCTCATTTGTGACAATCAAAAATGTCTCCAGTCATTTTCAAATATCCCGTGGGGGGTCAAAATCACCCCCAGTTGAAAACCACTGGTATAAAGTGCTTAGAGTAGTGCCTGGTCTATATATAGTAAGCACTCAAATACAAAGGTACTTCACAAAGTTCGTAGAAAATAGAACTAAAAGATAATGCATATCTCTCCGTGAACTTTTTGAAGTACCCTTGCTATTATTATTTCTAGCCATTAGATCTTCCTTAATGTTTGTGTGCGTTGGGGGGCAGGGGGAGTGTTTTTGTCAGCAGTACAGAAAACTGATAGCCAGGTTCAAGCAGGATAGGTTTTTTTGTTTTGTTTTGTAAACAACCTGCCTAGCAAGTACAATGAATAGAATTGCAATGGTATGTAAGGTATCTGTAATTAACTCAGACTACATTGAATATGGAGGGAAGTGAAGATAGACTTTCTTCCCTGGAATAGATGAGGTCTTTCTTTTGTTCCTACACCATGCTTATCCGTTGTGGCACTTGTTAAAATTTTAATTAATTTCTTGCATAATTTTCCGTTTAATTTGTGTCTTCTCAGACTAAAACCTTCCCAAGGGAAACAGACTGGCTATCCTATGTCAGTCATCAGCTCCTAACAGTCTGACAGTAGATGTTCAGTAAATATTGAATAACTTGTGTTTAAATTTTATATAAATTTTGTGCTCTCTTTACATTTTATTAAATTCTATTATGACTGTTTGGTTCAGATAATCACTAGTATAGCATAAAATTATGGCATTTTAGAATTGAGGAAATGGAATAAATGTATTTGTCTTATCTGCTTAGTGACTGTGGCACTGCTTTTCAGTTTGCTAGTTATTTAAGCTTTTAATATACACCATCCAAGCCCAAGGTGAAGTATATAGTCTCCCTGGGTGAAGCAAACCGGGGTGAATGCTAACAGTGGCACCTGCAGGTCTTAGATTAGTCATTACTTCCTCAAAGAAACTTTCTCTGACACCCCCTCTGTCCGAAAGGTACTTAAACACACTCTAAGGATTCTTCGTTATATGCTTCCATAGCATTCTGTAATTGTCTTTTTTTCAGTTTTCGCCACATTTTTGCTTTAGCTATTCAGCCATTTATTTCTCATTGCTACATGGTAATATGCTCACTGAGGTCCAGGAGTGTTGTCTACTCACCATTGTATATTTTCACTGCCTGACACAACATCTGGGTGGGCATTAAATATTTTGGAGATTAATATTAATAAATATGTTTTTAAAATATAGCTTTGTAAACTGAAAAGACTATCACTTAACTGAAACCTTGACAGAAATAATACATTTCCTATAATGTGAAGAATTTGAAGGTATAAAGTAAGTTTCCAACTAGTGATTTGACACATTTTACATTTGATCTAAATTTCCTTTTTCTTTATTTAGTATACAGTGCTACTTGTGAAAGTAATTTCAAATATTGACTATCAAAAATTAAAACATACAGCTCTAAATTTTTGAAAATTCTTGCCAGATGTTTATAACCTATTACTTAACAAACCACACTGTGGCACTACTGGATCAAGTTTGATTTTATTTGGATAAAATCCATTTTTTTCTTTTTCAGCTATTATTCATGGACTGTCGAGTCTAACAGCTTATCAATTGAAAACTATATACATTTGTCAGTTTTTGACAAGAATTGCCGCAGGAAAAACTCTTGGTAAATATGTATTTTTCTCTTATATTGGAAATACTTCAATCTGTGTGTAAATGTAAGACAATGAGAAGAAACAAACAGATGGGAGGTTTTTTTGGTTTTTTGTTGGGTTTTTTTGAGAGTTTGCCCTCATGTATCTGGCATATATATACACATATACATATACACACACACATGCATACCTAAAGCAAGTAAAAGAAATACAGTCCCTATCTTCTTAGGTCACTGGTTCTCAAACTTTAGCCTGCTTCAGAATTCTTAAAGGACTTATTAAAAAACTCAGAATGCTGAGTCACTCTGCCCCCCATGAATTTCAGATTCAGTACAATGGGTATGGGACCCTGGAATTTACATTTCTGGTAAGTTCCCAGGTGATTCTGATATTGTTTTGGGGAGACCACACTTCCTGGACTCTATCTTGGAGATTTCACTTTAAATTTGATTATATGGAAACTTAGTGGTGACTGATTCCTATCATAGACATTCTGTTTTTTACTTAGCTTAGCAGCTATGATATTTGAAACCTTTCATTTGAACTTGAGGTCAGCACTTATTTGTGTAAGGAAATATGATTGACAGCTATGTACTCTCTCCCTTGTCCCCATAGTTTATTTTAGAATGTAATGGGCAGGCCTGGTTCGGTTTGTCAGCAGTGGCTGTTTACAACATGGTCATCTAAAGGGCTATTTGATGCAAATAATTACATATTTATACTGGTTTTTACAATTTACAAAATGCTTTCTTAACAATCCCATGTTGCAGAAAATATATTGCATCTCTTTAAATATCACCAAGCAACCTTCAAAAACCAGGGATTTTTGCTCTCCCAATTTCTATTTAAAGGTAATGAATATGGAAGAAAGATATTTTTAGTTAATAATAAATTATGGATTTTTGTGATCAAGAGTATGTACAATATTAACCAAGTAGAGAGAATTTTAGTAGACTTTTGAGTGAGAAGCCACTTATGAGCTGTTGTCTTTGTTCAGAATAACCTGATCAAAATTCTGTGTTAGGAAAGTTTAACTGTAGTAAACGATAATTTACTTTAGCCCTTAAAATCAATATTTTAGTAAAGAAAAGCTTCAGGTGTTTTGTAATCTAATCAAGCTTTCCCCTTTTTTAAAATTGATCTTAATGAGCAGATTAACTTGGAAAATTAAATCACTTCCCAAAACTGGTATATATGAGAATAGTGCCTGGTACATAGTATACACTGAATAAATATTTAAAGGAATGTATTTTTTAAAAACTGACAAAGTAAGGTTCCACTTAGCTTCCTAAGTTGCTTATTTTTGTTCTGTTTTTAAAAGATGCACAGTTTGAAAGTGATGAACGAATCACACCGTTGGAATCAGCCCTGATGATTTGGGGTTCAGTTGAAAAGGAACATGACAAACTTCATGAAGAAATACAGAATTTAATTAAAATTCAGGTAAGAGTATTACTTTGTGCTTATAATTATTATTTCGCTAGAAAATAAAAACATATTTAACATCTAAAAGAAATTAAGAGGAACCTAATTTGTTTGGCAGTAAGCCAAGAGTAAATTTTAATATAATCTTTCTGTTTAGAAATTTGACCATTGGTTTGTAGTCTTAACATGAGCACTACGGGCTGGAACTTAATGTTTCATACTTAGGCATACGTTGCTCCCGTGTTACAGAAGATCTCTTTAAAGATCGCCAAGCAACCTTGAAAAACCAGGAGTTTGTGCTCTCCCAATTTCTACTTAAAGATTAAAAATATGGAAGAAAGATATTTTTAATTAATAATAAATTACAGATTTTTGTGATCAAGAGTATGTAAAATTTTAACCAAGTAGAGAGAATTTTAGTAGACTGTTAAGAGTGAGAAGCCAAAAAATTCATTCAAAGATATGATAGCAGAGAAAATAAGTTTTGCCAGCAATCAAAGCAAATACTAGGGACTTTCTTAAATAAGTATATTTTTCCTTTTTTGGGGGGGGGAGGAATTTAAAAATTTTTTTTACTGGATGGATAGAAGAGAAAATACAAGTAGTTCCCTACTTTCCCAAGAATTGGTATGGTGACTGATAAGTAGAATATGGACCTGAAGAGAAGAGAAAGGGCAGAAAAATGACAGCTGCTTTTAAGAATTCAACCCAGGGCAAAGAGATTTGTCATGTTATTCCAATCTTCTGGGGCTCTAGAGGAAGGTTGAGTTGTTGACATTGTTGACAGTAAAGTATATAGCAAACATTTAATATGTCACTTACTATTTGCCAGGCAAGCAGTGTTCTAAGCACTCTCACATGTACCTTTTTAATCCTCTTTAAATTCTGTGAAATAGGTACTGTTATTTCCACCATTTTACATATAAGGAAACTGAGGCACCAAGAGATTAATTAGCTTGCCAGGATGTTAATGTTCCTATCCAGACATGGATATGGTCCCGTATCTTAATCATGTGTGGTATCAGAAAGACCAGTATGTAAAATGATCATTCAAAAGCATCTGGCTTCCTAGGTTTCTGTTAGAGATTTTCCAGGGATTCTAACCAGCAAATTTTATATATTGTAATCATAACAAAACTCCATCTACCTCCTCTGATTTCCCTTTTGCTGAAAATTCATATTTAGGTGGGTCCTGAATGTACACAGTATATCTTCTAATTTATTTATTAATGTCTGCTTTTAATTTGGCCTAAATTAAAGATAGAGTGCTTAGCATTTACTAGTGTTCTTCACAACATTCATTCAAGGGTTGTGTTACCTTTTAATTCATTTTTCAGTGAACTTTTTGAAATACCCTTGTATCAGTAAATGTGCATGGGACTTATGAAAATTTTTTATGTCTTTTCAAGTCACAGTTATTTCATCCTTGAAAAAGTATTTTATATCATTTATCAAGTCAAAATTTTTAAACTACATAATGTTTTAAGTGAAGTGTTTTAGATTTATCTGAGTTATTTCAGTAATTAAACAACTATTAGATATTTTAAAAAGCTGTCTAAGGTATGTATTTGTCATCTTTCATTTTTTAGGCTATAGCTGTTTGTATGGAAAATGGTGATTTTAAGGAAGCAAAAGAAGTCTTTGAAAGAATATTTGGTGACCCAAATTTTTATACGGTAATTGTTTAAATGGAAACCATAGAATTTTAGAACTGTTTATATGGAATGAGGAAAACTGAAAGAAAATTAGAGGAGAAAAGGAATGCTTTATCTTTTAAGCAGTATAGAACAACACTGTCCAGTAGAAATATAATGCAAGACATCACAGATGTGATTTAAAATTTTCTAGTAGCCACATTAAGAAGGTAAAAAGAGACAGGTGAAACTAATATAATAATATTTAACCCAATATATCAAAAACTTTATCATTTTAATGTTTAATCAACATAAAATAATATTGATGATATATTTACATTCTTTTTTTTTGTACTAAGTCTTTGAAATCTGATGTGTTTTTATACTTACAATACATCTAAATTCAGACTAGCCACATTTCACGGGCTCAATAACCATATGTGGCTAATGGCTACCATATTGGGCAGCGCAAGTGTAGAAGAAAGTATTATAACTTGCTTACTTTTTCCTAGAGGATTTCTTATATGATCATTAGTAGTTTCTGTGTTTGTGTGGAGTGTTAAGGTCAGTAGACCTTAATTTCTTAATGTTAAAAACAAAGTATTATTATTAGAGTGAATAGAGCTTATTCAAAGAAAGAAAAGATGGTTTTATACATTTTTTTAGTGAACTTTCTATTGAACAGGTAGTGTACCTCTGGAAGCATATCTGTGTCATAAGTGTATAAGTAGATGTATTTTCACAAAAGGGACATACTTGTGTGACCAGCCCCTAGATCAAGAAAGAAAACCCATCGTCAATTGAGAAAGTCATTATTCTGACTTGTCCTACCCAAGATTAGTTTTTACTTGTTTCTGAACTTTATGGTAATGGAATCATATAGCAAGTTTGTATTTGTAAGATTGATCCATGTTGTTGCTAGTAACAATAGTTTGTTCATTCTCGTTGTTTCATTGTATGAATATAGTACAGTTTATCCATTCTACTGTTGGTGGACATTTGAGTTATTTCCAATTTTGGCTACAACATCCTTTTACATGTCTTTTGTAGGAGAAATGTATGCATTTTTAGTGGGCACTTGCTTAGGAGTAGAATTGATGAGTCAGGGGTATACATATATTCCGTTTTAGAAGATAATACCAAACAGTTTTCCAAAGTAGTTATGTCAATTCCTTAAGTAGTGTGGGAGAGTTCCAGTTGCTCCACAGACCTTATCTGTGGTTTTTATTTTAGCTATTCTTGTAAATATGCAGTGCAATCACACTGAGTTTTAATTTCTGTTTCTTGATGATTAATAAGGTTGAGAACCTTTTGATAAGCTAGAAGAGAGAGTCGGGGATTGATGACCTTAATCCAATAAGAGACTGAGTTTAGTTGAGGGTAAATTGCAGTTTTGTCTGTCTCTAATTTGACCTTGTTTCAAGGGTATAGACCTCCAGAAATTTCAGCTAATAGCCTGACATGTTTACTGGTTTTCCTTTCCATAAGACTACTGAAAACTCCACTCAGCTTGTATTTCATAGAAGAGGAAAACTTATGGCCAGTGAGCATTAAGAGGTTAAGACAAAATGCTTAATTTCACTAGTATTAGTTTTCAGAGCAATAGCAAATAATACACTGAAATACCATTAAATATCCCACAGACTGGCAACAATTAAAATGTCTTAGAATATCAATAGTTGGCTCAAAAAGTAGAGAAATGATTAGACTGCCTGCCATAATATCCTCTCAGAGTGTAAATTGGTAATTAAATTTTGGAGAGCATTTTAGAAGAATCTGCAAGCATGCGTTCCAGCAATCCTACCTCTAGATAATTCCCCTAGAATATCTGTTTTCACTTATACTGCACATTTTAAAAACTTTGCTTTAAAGACAAAAACAAAAATTTAGGCCTTGCTGAGACAGTTGCTCTGGTACTGAGCCTGAGAATTTTGTTAAAGTTCTATAACTTTATTGTGCAGCCAGATTGAAAAAACTACTATTCAAGAAAAACTTGTACCATAAGACGATACGTATAAAAATGTTTAGGAGCATTGCAGTAACAGAAAATAGCCTAAATCCTTCAGCAGTCTGGAAGAATGGATGAATAAATGATATTTTTGATCAATGTAATACTATGCAATGGTGACAATAACTAGTTCTACAGATATCAAATCAGCATGGTGAATGTCATAAACATAGAGTTGAGTAAAATATAACAAGTTTCAGAAGAATGCACATAGTATCACACCACTTAAAAATTGCGGGCCGGCCCAGTGGCGCACTTGGTAGAGTGCGGCGCTTGGGAGCGCGCGGTGCTCCCGCCGAGGGTTCGGATCCCATATAGAGACCAGTCCGCTCACTGGTTGAGCACGGTGCGGGCGCGACACCGAGGGTTGCGATCCCGTTGCCGGTGGCGGTATGGGCGCGGCACCGAGGGTTGCAATCCCGTTACCGGTCACAAAAAAAGACAAAAAGGGGGAAAAAAATTGTGCTAAATAATACTATGTATTATTTATGGACACATACACATGTAGTTCATGTATAAAGGAATTCATGGGAATGGCAAATTCTAAATTCAGGGTAGTAGTTACTATGAGGGGAGAAAGGGGATGAAATCAGGTTATGGTAGTAAACAGGCTTTAACTGTATTGATAATGTTTTGTGTATTAAACTGGGTAATACAGACACTCAGGATCATAACTTTTTTTTAATCTTTGTGTGTCTGAAATATAAAATATTCTCTAAAATGGGGGAGGGAGCAAAAAAAAATCAGTAAAAATACATTGGTGAGCCATATAAACAGAATTTTTAAAATCTCTTAATTGGGGCCCGCCCGTGGCTCACTCGGTAGAGTGCGGTGCTAATAACACCAAGGCCACGGGTTCGGATCCCATATAGGGATGGCCGGTTTGCTCACTGGGTGAGCGTGGTGCTGACAACACCAAGTCAAGGGTTAAGATCCCCTTACCGGTCATCTTTTTAAAAAATAAATAAATAAATAAAATCTCTTAATTGTGTCTCTGTTTATATTATAAAGTGATTTTTTTTTAATGAAATAACACATGACAAAATTTGTTATGTCAAATTTTATTTGTGATTTATGGTAATATATTTTTTCTCTTTTTCTTTAGCCTTTAAAAAGGAAATTGCTTATGATAATCTCTCAGAAAGATGCATTCCATTCATTTTTTCAACACTTCAGCTACAACCACATGATGGAGAAAATTAAGAGTTATGTGAACTATGTGCTAAATGAAAAATCATCAACCTTTCTAATGAAGGTATACATGTTATTTCAGAGTGACTCTAGCAATAAACTAAAGAGAAACTTTAGTTTATAAAGTTTAGTTAAACTTTAGTTTAACTGTTATAATAAGGGAGAATACTTGAAATAGAAATATTTAAAGACTAATCAGAATTTTGTATAGTGGTTTTGTAGAAGAATGTGATAAAATATTACAGTTAGTGAACTAACTAAAGGATTTATGGGTGATCTTTGTAGTATTTTTGCAACTTCAAAATAAGAGTTGGAAAATTTTTCAAAATAAAAAGCTGAGGTGAAATCTTAGAATGAATGAAGAATAAGGAATAAGGCTGGCTGGTTAGCTCAGTTGGTTAGAGCATGGCCGTATACCACCAAGGTCAAGGGTTCAGTTCCCTGTACCAGCTAGCTGCCCCCTCCCCCCCCAAAAAAAAAAAAAGAAAAGAAAAATAAGAGAGGGCCGGCCCGGTGGCGCACTGGATAGTGTGCCGCTTGGGAAGCGCGGCGGCGCTCCTGCCCGAGGGTTCGGATCCCACATACAGACCGGTTCCCGCTCACTGGCTGAGCGAGGAGCGGGAGCAACGCCGAG